ACCTAGGGTCGCTTACTTGGTGCAAGTCCTGATGATTGGGGTTCCAATAGCTAAGAACTACTAAGCTCAGTGTCCTGTGACCCGGGCGAATCCGTGCCGGGTTTTCGTCAGTGTCGGTTTGACAAACATCTTTAGAACAAAGAAGCATACTCTGATAAAATTCACCAAATAATGGACCAAGAATAATGGCTCAAGTCAATCTTACATCATTTTTATAAACCAATTTTGTGATCATAATTAGGCATCGCAGAATTCGAATAACTACCTTATGCTTATCCCTACACACTTGCAGAAAAATGTAGTGAATATGATTGTAACAGAATAAACGTTTAATCAGGTAATTAAATTGAAGCATCATCATGCAATGTTAAAGTAAATTCTGGAGTGTGGTTGTTCTTACGTTTTGCATATTCATTTCTTATGAGTCATTGAAATATTAGCTCCTGAACCAGACTCTTGAATAATCAAGCCTCTTGTCATTTGCTATTTCATCCAGCTTCCTACATGACCTAGTAGCCTGAGTAGTTGTTGATCAATTTCCTGTATCCTGTCCTTATTTTTAAAAATATTGGCTATTTTCTTGAATTCTTTTAATTACCCAATCTTACTACATGCCATGAAAAATTGCTGAAGTTTAACCACCATAACTAATGGCCTGAATTAGCCAGGTTATCGAAGAATTAAAATTTATTTACTTACGAACTTAGTGGGCAGTTTTGTATTCAGATGATCTCTTCTGTGATGGTCGGCAGGTATACTCCTTATAGACATTCCATAAAAGTATAAGGCATCACAAAAATCTGATCTAGGAGCAGGACAATAATTTTATTTAAAGAAGGCATAACTAAGGAAAGAACTAGTTTCCCTTTCTTGTTTGATTCTGTAGTTTATTTCAGTGGTTCAATCTTAAATTGCTAATCTATTAATATGTATTATTATCAGAGGAAGATTATTAAAAGTGAGAGCCAAAGGGCCAAATCATCTTGCAAATCAAATTTAATTTCAACTCGAGCATTTGTATTCCTCATTTTTCGGTTATGTAAAGTTATATGAGTTGTGTTCACCCTATTTAGTTTAAGGTGATGAAGGACTGGTAGTTGTATTTTCCCACAAAGATATGAGTAGAGCTGACGTTTCCATTGAATTTCACATAGCCTTGCTTTCCAAAAAGCCGTTCTCATCCAGGGTGAACTGCAGTTAGACCTCACATAGGTCTTATCAACATCCAAAGCGGAAGTTGAACCATGACAGTTTAGCGTGTGGACTTACTCAATAATAATAAAAAA